AGATGAGTCAGAAGAAGGTTTTAACTAAGGGCAATCCTAACGCAACATTTATTAAAATTGAAATAGAGAAGAAAAGCTTCTTAGCATATATTGATACAGGGGCAACCTTATGTTTTGCCAAAAAATCAACCATAAAAAAATGGGATAAACTTGAAAAACCTTTAAAAATTATAGTGGCAGACAAATCTATCCATGAAATTTGGTATGTAAAACAATATGTACCAATAATCATTGAAAAACATATCTTCACAGCTAAAACAATATATCAACATGACTCAGGACTAGATATAATAATAGGAAATAACTTTCTAAAATTATATCAACCATTTATCCAAAGAATTAGAACAATCAGCCTTAGATGTCCTAAAACAATAGACCAGGAATCTAAGATAATCACAACAAGAATAATCACAAAAAATGAAGTGCTAAAAATTGTGCTTCAAAACCTCAAAAATAGACTAGAATATATACAGATTACTTATAGCATTCTAGAGGATACTTTAGACCAGGTGTGTAGTGAACATCCTTTAGATAAAGATAAAAATACCAATCAAGAACTTATCGAAATTAAACTAAAAGATCCTAAAATGGAAGTTAATGTCCCTAACAAAATTCAATATACTCAACGAGATGTAGAAGAATTCCAAAAGGAATGTTCAGAGTTAGCTGAAAAAGGAATAATACGAGAAAGTAAAAGTCCTCACAGTGCACCAGCCTTTTATGTAGAAAATAACAATGAAATCAAAAGAGGAAAAAGAAGAAAGGTAATAAACTATAAAAAACTAAACGAACAAACAATAGGAGATAGCTATAAACTACCTAGGAAAGACTATATATTAGAAAGATTAAAAGGTCAAACTTGGTTTAGTAGTTTAGATGCTAAATCTGGATATTGGCAACTTCGTCTACATGAGAATACCAAACCTTTAACAGCCTTTTCATGTCCACCACAAAAACATTACGAATGGAATGTTCTCCCATTTGGGATGAAACAAGCACCAGCTATTTACCAACGGTTTATGGATCATGTATTAGAAGGTTTTCAATCGTTCTGTTTGGCATACATTGATGATATTATTATTTTCACAAATCAATCAGAAGAAGACCATCGTGAAAAAATCTTGATAGTTTTACAGAGAATAAAAGAAAAAGGTCTAATTATCTCTAAGAAGAAATCAAAACTTCTTCAAAAAGAAATTGAATATCTTGGTATGAAGATTAATAATTTGGGTGAAATTGAGTTGTCACCAAACACTAAAGAAAAAATCGATAAATTCCCAAACCAACTTGAAAATAGAAAACAAATTCAACGTTTTCTTGGATGCTTAAATTATATAAGCGAACAAGGATTTTTAAAAGATTTAGCAAAAGAAAGAAAACATTTACAGAAAAAGATTTCTGACAAAATCCCTTGGTCATGGAATGATCAAGACACAAAAATAGTTTTATTAATGAAAGAAAAATGTCAGCATTTACCAAAATTATATAACCCTTGTGAAAACGATTTTCTAATAATTCAAACGGATGCCTCTAAGGACACTTGGGCAGGGTGTATGTTAGCAATACAAAATGGTAAGGAATTATTACAAATGGACAATTTTGGTAATGTCAAAATAGACAATAACGAGGCTACTGTCTCTGGCCAAGAGCCTAAAGATTATCAGTCTTCGGACAATATTATTGAACTTTCAAGTTCTCAATCATTAGTTCCTTTCAACAGTGATAAATATTCTAAGAAATTATGTAAATATATTTCTGGAACGTTTACCGCCACTGAACAGAACTATCCGATCCACGAATTAGAGACACTAGCCTGTCTCAGAACATTGAAAAAATGGAAGCTTGAATTATTATCTACAAGGTTTGAACTTCAAACCGACTCTAAATATGTAACAGGTTTTTGGAGATACAAGCTTCAGGCAGATTTCAACAAAGGAAGATTAATCAGGTGGCAGCAACAACTCCATTATTACAATCCTTATCTGAAGTATATCAAGTCCAGCAACAATCCATTCACAGACACACTGACTCGAGAATGGAAGGATTCATAAAAACCCTCATCAATCAACTAAAGCAGAAGCAGGAAAAGAGTGCAGCACTGGAACAACAGCTTCTCCTTTGCAGGGGGGAAGAAGAAGCAATAATTCAATCAATCGACGTCATTCAGCAACAGTTAAAAATCAACTACATCGACGCCAGTACATTAACAACTAGCTCCACTAGTGGAAAGCCATCAACACTGATCACAGAACATGCTGAAAAGTCGACAGCAATACAATCATCCACCACTACCAGCAATAATATACAAAAGACAACACGATGGGCAGACATCGTTGAACAAGAAGAAAAAGAAACAAAAGATTCCCACTACGAAGAAGACGACAGAGAAAGCAGCAAATGGTATGTCATATTCAATGGACCATACCGAGGAGTATATCATAACTGGGCCATCGCTAGCCAGCACATCAACGGCAAACCAGTCCAACATCAATCATTTAAAACAAAAGAAGCAGCCGACGAAGCATACAGACAATCATACAAGGTGATGGCAATGAAAGAACCACTCAAGAATCAAGAGCAACAGTCGCAGAAACTTGTCATGAAGATACCCAGTATCAAAAGTATCCTAACCACCAAGGAAAAAGAAGAGCAATTAAAACCAATCTTTCAGAAGTTCATATCCAACTGGGATATGATAATCAACTATGAAGAAAAACACACGACCATGGGTTTCTACCCTGTCAGTCGAGGAGGACCCAAAGCAGTAATCACAGAAGAAGCATCACCAGAACTCTCTTTTGAGTTCCATCAATATGGATTAATCGACACTATCTACACTACAACCATGAAGGTATTTGAATACTTCCCACAAAGAATGAGGAACGTAATCAGAAGATATCTCGAGCTATTCGCCAAGGAAAGAGAAATATTTCTCAAATATACAAGCAGCTACCCCGTATTCGATCAAGACAAGCTATTGATCGGATCAAAGGCAGTTATCCTCATGGGAGTATCAAACCATGATTACCCTACCAGAGATGACCTACGAGACTATGAGAAGAACCCAGAATACCAAGTAAAGGGTCTTCTTGCAGTATGCAGAGCATTAACCAAAATTGAACCGGAAAGCCAGATTAAAGTTAATTACAGCAGCCCCGATGTCATCATCACCAGCAAAACAAGAGGAAACATAACCAAAGAAGAATGGGCAATCATAACAGATAAAATTAAGGAATTCACAGAAATTAATGGGAATCTGTTAGCCCTTCCCACTCAAATCAAGAAACAGTTATGCAATGAGCTTACTATCTATGAAGACCATCTCTGTGAGTGGTGTGCAGCAACTGACGAAGACATCAGTGGACCAGCAGACCAAGACTGACAGAAGCATGTGAAGAAAAAGGAATCAAACATGGAATAAAGCGACAAAAGAAGGTTGGTCGACTCCTTTAAAAAAGTCGTGCATTATTGTATTTTATCAGCTTTCTTATCGTTTCACGCGTTTTCTTTTAACGTATTAGCTTTACGTCCCTGTTGCACAAACGTAAGCAATGACGTCTTTGTATCTCCCCTCAGCTCTATATAAGAGCAAGAGTTTGCAATGAAATAAGGCAGAACGAGTTTGGCCATAAAAATTGCCTGTTTACTCTCTCCCTCTAGCTAGCTAGTTGTAAGGCTTGGATCCACTGATCCTGGAGGCCACAATCATTTTCAATATAATCAAACGCACGGAAAGAAGCTACAATCATCAAGCGATCATCAAAAGGCTCAGAATTTCATCAGAAGAGCAAGTCAGGTATGTCTGATAATCCTACCTCAAGTTATTTTGACTATTTAAACAAAAATGATAATGAAAACTACTTCTTAGATGGTGTTATAGACATTAAGAAAATTAGAGAAAAAACTAATTTTACTATTTCAGAAACTCAGAACTTTATCACTAAGTCTTTTTTATCAAAGCTCTTTGATAGAGAAAACATTATTAAATATGGTAAAATGATAGGTGAAGTAGCAGTCCCTATTGATCAAACTAAGGGTGATTTCTTAATCCAAGTAATAAATAAAGAACAAATCAGAAAAAGATTAGCTAAACTAAGACCAGAAGAACGAAATAAAATAGCTTATATTCATATTAGTACAATTCAAATTATATTAAAATCAACCATGAAAATAGGAATTGACGCACCCATGGAATTAGAAATTCGTGATGATAGGCTCCTAAACGAAGAAGAAAGTATTATTGCTAAAGGAACGGGAAATTTAGGAGTAGGAATAATTAAATTCGACATTAACCTGCAACAAGGATTAAGCCTGGCAGATGGTAATCTTGACTCTTCTATCATTATAAAATACGAATTAAAAAGAGAAAATTTTATGAAAGAGAATAGCAAACCATTTTCAGTAACTTATCAAATAAATTATGCATTAACAAATAGTCACCACAGCTTAACCTTTAAAAATAAGGAAGTAATTACTATAGAAGATTTATTTAAACCTTTAATTCAACTAGAAGCACCATTAAAAACTGTTAGAATAGAACCTAGTCGACCATCGATAACCCAAGATCAAAGACGATTAATTAAAACACAATCAGAGAGAATTAGGCATATCCCAGTAATTGAACAAAATCTAGAACAAGAAGAGATAACCAATAATCAAGTAAATAAATTAATTGAAGAGATAACCAATAATCAAGTAATAAATAAGTTGGAAAAATTGCAACATTCAATCGCAAATCTAGAGAATAAAATCTAAAACATGCCTACTAATTATCATATAAATAAATTAATTGAAGGAATAGATGCTATAAATCTCACTTCAATAAATTATATCAATACGGTCACACAAGAACTAACTTACTTTGCTTCAGAAATCGTAGAGGAACAAATGAGTATTGGAATCACAGAAACATTAGAAGAAGCTATCTCTAAAACCGAATTAATTACGGATATAATAACTAGCCTAAATAAAATAAAACAAAGATTACTAAACCAATAAGACATTTATAAAAATATAAGAGAGTAACAAAAACATGGTATCAGAGCCCAAACCGATCAACTACCCGAATTATTTAGTTCGCAAAGACTTGGATATTAGTTCATACACCATTGGATATCAGTTAGTATCTACTAACAAAATGACCAGTTAGCAGATTAACCAGGTCGACTCCAATGGCTTCCTTCACCTTCGCTAGAGCCACTCTCACTCGCTTGCCTGCTCTTCATCATACTACCGTACTACGCTTCCTTCTGCTACTCTTTCCACTCCACTGCTTCAGATTCAACTGGTTCCGCTTCAGAATTATAGAGGCATCATCGCCATCAGCATCACTTCGCAACAATGGCTAGTTCGGTCCCTGGACAAGAGAGACCCACGGCTCTTGCAGCTCCTGGAAGTCCCCCAATCACGGCAGATGTCGTATCCGGAGCTTCCAAGCGCCTGCCGTCGACGGCCAGGGACGCTTGATCGTGCTCGAGTCCCGTCCAAATTGAGGAGGGTGAGTAATTGCGTGTTGTGTAGATAACCTGTTTGATAAATTGCCTAGACAAATATAAATGAGAGTTTTGTTATTGTGTAGTATTCTCTGTGTAGACGAGCTGTTCTCGTTGGACAAGCTGAAAAAGGCCGGAGACTAACCTATTGACGTCACTCCGAAGGAATTCGGGGTCAGAACGACTTGGCAGGAGTATGGAGGCGGCGTGTTTGCGGTCTCCGGGGACACTGTCATTTCCTCCAACTACAAGGATCAAAGGCTTTACAAGCAGTCTATCATCGGCCAAGATTCTTCACCATGTTGGAGCTAGCCTCTGCTTCTATTGTTTGTTCTCTGATGTCTGGTTGGGCAATTATGTTTGTGTGAGTAGGTGTTGCACTACAGATTCTACTCCCGTGGCCATTACACCTGACTACGGTGGTCCTGTAATGTTGTATGCTGATGGAGTCTTTGATTATCGGTTTAATGGCTTTTTTCAGTGAGGGAAGGTAGATCTGCTTGAGAGTTCCACAAATGCATCTAAGAAGACTGTAGCATTTAGATCTTAACGGAAAAGATGTGCAAGGCATGTACAATCAACTTCTGTCACTGCAGTAGATTTTCAGCATTTTAGCACAGTACATGTTTGTATCTGTGTGAATTTATCTTATGCTGTTAAGGAAATGACATTATTTTCACTTTGGGTAATTGTCTTCTCAGAGCAAACAGTAGTCATTATGTGAACTAGCATGGATTGAGTGGAGTCACCCATACATGCCAAGGGACAGATCAAAACTTTGGGCTGGACACATCTCTGAAAATGGGTAAGCAGAATTTGTTCATGTAGTGTGTGGGGAACTTTGAGTTATAATTAGTCATCAATGTTTCTGTTCTTATGATCATGCATAATGCAGATTGGTTAGATGTCTGATATCTTGTCCCCAAGTGAACATTTTGTTAGAAACCACGGACCTAGAGAATCTCGGGTTGGGTTGTGAGATACCGAGATTGGGAATTGGATTGCATAATGGGAATTTAGAGATTGAGAGAGAGAATTAAGGATTGGATTGAGAATTGGGGATTAGTGATCGAAGCCTACTTCTCAACTTGAGAACGCTTGGAAACTGCAAATTGCTGAAGAATTTCACATTTGAGGCACACTAAAAGACTAGAAGGACCAAGTCCTGTTCCACACGCTAACCCAACCAGAGCTTTTCTTACGAGCTGCTTATCCCTGTTTGTCTGGAGGGATTCTTGTCCAAATTTATTTATGAAAAACACACATGTATCCTAGAGATATGAGATTTTTCATGTGTCTTAGGCTTGAGCCCTTGGAATATGCTCCTTCTGATACGAAGTATCTAATGCAGATAGTGCCCCTGACCAAGCTCGCAAAATCTATGAGGCGTTGAAGAAAAAGGGTTTACCTGTTGCCCTTGGAGAATGAAGGGGATCAGCATGGCTTCCGCATGGTATGAAGATCTAGTTTTGTGTTTCTTCTAGTCAGAAGAGTTATTTTAGCTTGGAAGACACTGGAATTAATATATATCGGGGTTGCATGCAGGCTGAGAATATTTAAGTTCACTCTGGAACAGCAAATGGAATTCATTGCACGTTTGGCGTTGGACACTTCAATGTCGCAGATGAGGTCCCTCCAATCAAGATTGAGAATTTTGACTGAAAACTAAGGTATATGGAGCCTTGCCTTGTGGAAACGAAATCATACTGCTTTGAGAAATGCTGCTTATACATGATTCCATAGTAAAAGCCACTATGACAACTGACATGTCATTTTGCTTGCAATTCAGGAAATTTGTGATCTAGACTTGGAGCTCTAGGCCGAGTGTATGAAAAGCTATAATCTTAACATACTCCACCCTGGTTAGTGGTTAGTGCCAATCGAAGCTTTCAGGAGCACGAGAGTAATCTTTTCCTTTGTCTAGAGTTTCCTTCAACGATCAGGAGTTTGCTTCTATACAATAAGAGGTCCTCTTTTTTCATAAACCCTATCCTGGTTTGCATAACCCTTTAATTTATCTTTTGCTTAAACTCTAAAGCAATTCTGTGCAATCAGTCCTTGCTGCAAGCATTAGTTTGTATCCTGAAGAGCTGTTCATACCCAAATAAGATGTCCTGATTAGATTAACTAATGCTGGCTACCAGAAAGTTGTTGACTTCTTAGGCAACTGCACGGTTGTTGTTTCCTTAAATTTCATGGTTGGCAGTAAGCGTCAATCGTGGCGTTACCAGATCTCAGAGTTAGTTTTCCGTTCTGGGAAGTCTCACTTCTAGAAGTTGGACAAGTCTTTGTTTTAGACAGCCTGTTTCCTTCCCTCTTTAGCTGACGAATTAAATTTGGAATTTTGTTCTTAAACAATTTTTTCTGGTTGTTTGATAGATAAGGTTGATCTGCATGTGGGGGGATTACTCTACATGGAAGTGCCAAAAATCCAAATAACAACTAAGACAAGAATCTTGTTGCAACTTACTTTGACTTTTCCTGTTTGTTGTTTTGATTTGTTCGCAGAGCATAATACAAATGCATACAGCGCAACCATTTTCCTGTGTTATATTCAAAGTTCAGTCGTCTTCTCTTCTATAATTAAATTTTACTTCATTTGGCGTTTCTTTAATTACGTGATTAATCGGCCACTTGATTCTAGCATGCTTGTGCATTTTTTTTTTAAGATTTGCTATGTTGATTTGTTTTTATAATCAAGTTGTTAGACCATTATACCTCTGCTAACGATTGCAATTAGAACACAGGAAGAGTTTAACTAAAAATCAAAACAGACTTGACAGTTGTTTATTGGGTTGGTAGGATATGCATGGGGGTTTGGCTGGTAAGTGGTACCCACAATTTCAATTCAGCTATGACAGCTTCTTCTAACTTTCTCATTCTCTCCTTTGAATTTTCTTGGCGTGAGCTCATACTGCGTTCCCACATGGATATGAATTAAACCAGTAAAAATTTTTACTGCAGCAAAAACAATTTATTATACTAATGAATTAACCAGATGATCTGCTGTAACTGCTGGGACATAGGAATATTTACTATCCTTTTACAGTACTACAAGATGATTGGAAACAAAAATAGAAAGGGGGAAAAATGCAATTGATATAGCTATTTGTGCTGTGTATGAACTGTGGAAATGCCAGTGATATGGTTGCTCAAGAACACCATAGACTAGGCTGCTGCTATCTGTTTTCTTTTCCTCTGTGTTTTGCTCTTCACAGAACAGGAAGAACAGCGTATATAGACAACTGGGGAAGAAGATGGAACAAAAGAACAAAAGAAAGCTCTTCACTTTGATGAATCAAAGATTGTGTATATATTCATATATGTATTTGTAGTATCGTCTCCTTGTTTTATCGAGCAGGGGAAGGACTGAAGGCTAATCTCATCCCGAGAATCCCCTGTTTGTATGGCAAATAAGTCCTCTTCTTCATATCCTCCGATGCTGCTTTGTTCTTGGTGTAATGCAGCTCGTGAGCCGAAACAGGTCCTTTCCTCCTCATCGACCCGGAATTCGAGCCGTTGCTGTCCGACGACCTGATGCTGCAGCTCTTCACATCGTCGTGTCTCCTGAACAAACCCCCGAAAGCCGCGTGCTTTCTGTAAGGATCCCTGTCCGCAGCTCGCCCTTCCGACGCGCTTCTGAACAAGAGCAGATCACGCAGTCTCCACTTCCTCGACGAACTCTTTCCGGTACCCTGAGCTGCAGCAGCAGGAGCAGCAGAAGAAACAGGCTGTAGATTGTGCTCTGGCTCTGGCTGTGGATGTTGTTGTTGTTGAAATTGTCTCTCCTCTTCTTCCCATGGATACTGTGAAACTCTGTAAGGGGACAAAGATCTCGCGGCACCTCTCCTGCTTGAACTCGAGGTCAGATTCCTCCCTCTTCCCCTTTCATTACTCGAATTAACAAACTCCATTTGAGCAGCTTGATCTTTCTTCTTCCTGGGGGAGAATGCGCCCTTTATGATCCTCTTCCCCTGCTCGATAGGCGACCTGGGAGACCTGGGGGAATGAACCAGGGGGCTTTTGATCTCTTCCACCTGCATCCTCGGCGGGAGCTTCAAAGGCCGGATCTTGCCATCATCAAACAGCTCGTCGGCGGTGAGAGACGACATCTCCGAATCGGCGCTGAAATCGAAAGCGAAATCTTGGTCGTTGAAGGAAGGCAGCTTCTTAGGCGATTTGGGCGTCCCTGGTTTCTCTTCCCAGTGGAAGGGGACGCCGCCGTCGTCGCTCTGCTCCACGTACTCGCCCATGAGGGAGAAGTTCTCGAAGCTGCGGTAGAACTCCGCCACCCGGCCCGGGCTGGTCGGAGCGCTGAGTGTGAGGTCGCCGAACCGCCGCGGGGAGGCCGGCGCGCTGAGGAAAGGCAGCGGCCTGGCGTCGTTGAAGTCAAATCCCATCCCTCCGCCTGGTGATGAAGGTATGATCACCTCCATTCTCGAGTTTATACTTTATACTTTGTGAAATGTTTCTCGGTTGTAGTGTGGAAACTAGGAAGATGGAGAGAGAGGTTTTTCGGGTCTGGGGGGAATGGAATGATTGCAAAATATTGCGAACTCTGCAATCTGGGAAATGGGAGGATTTGTGGGGGAATAAATATGGACGGAAAAGGGGAAGGGAAAAGGAGAGGAAAGGGCGGTAGGAGATAATTGACCGTGAAGGTCACAAGACTGGAGCCGCCGACTTTTAATAGTTGGTCAGTCCCTTCATCTCTCATTTCTTGTCTTGTTTGCTTGCCACGAATTTATTTTATGTAATCCCACATGGGGGAATGGGAATGACGAGGAGGGTTCCTGATCGGGGCCAAATCATAATAATTGACAATATGACTACAGTGATGAGAAAGGAAGAAACAAAATGAACTTGGGACAATTGCAGAAATAGTCACTGAACTTTGAGTTGCTGACGTATTTCACCTTTTTTTTCTTCCTTATCCAGGTTCTCAATGAATTTTGGAATGATGATATACTAGTTGCTTCTTTGATGAGCTTATCTGGTTGGAGTGGTATCAGGCGATGCGCAATGCGAATCACGCGACAGGTAATGAATTTGGAACGTGCTGATTTGAGTTAAGATAGGCCTTTCTTCCACTCCGGTAGGGTGAGGAAGGGGAATTATTGGATTGGTTTCAGCTGTTGTGTGGCTAGGAATTGGGTCGTGTAAAAGGTTTGATACGAATCGAGCACGAATTAGACCAGTCATCTACTTCATCTAAATAAGGTCGATGTAATTGTTTAGATTCATTGGTCTGGTTGAGCACTTGAGCACGTAATATGCTGTTGGAAATGTGTATGAATAGCTTTGAAAGCTATAGATTCTCAAGTGGAAAAACTACCACATTGGTAGTTTTACTTGGTGAAATGAGTATAAAGATAGGAGCCTCTCTCCTAAGGGCATGCCCCTTGGGGTGACCCACTTTTGTGGGAGAGGGAGGACCTAACAGACCACCACACGCGCGCGCGCCGTCCGTCCGGTCGGTTGGATGGATCACTTGAGACTATATACATATTTTTTGGAGAAATTCCGAACGAAATTAATTATTTAATAATTAATTATTAATCGGTTATTCTAAGGAATATTCCAAGGGATAATCGATTGAAAAGGAATATTCGAAGGATAATCTCCGCAGGATTTATCCTAACCGACGGTTTTAGTAATTATCTTCCTTAATTAATCCGACTTATTCCCCAAGCAAGAGGGTATATTCCTAGGGGTTCGGCTCCTATAAATAGCCGCCTCCCCAGCCCCTCTAAACACACAACAACGAGCATAAACACAATAGAGAGAGTGTTCAGAGAGCTCCGGTTTTCGCACAAAACCGCGAGTACACAGAGGAGCTGTTTTATCCTGGAGACGACCGGTTGATAGTCTGCCGTGCGCATCGAGGGCAGTGCCGCGAACGTCTTAAAGAAAGCGACCTAGTCCGCGACTCAGCTCCAGATTCGGTATCCTCATCTTGTTGTTGTTCCGTTTCTAACATATGCTAGTGACGTCAAAGTGGGTTGAAAAGGCAAAGTTTAGGTGCTAATATGCTAGTGACCTCAAAGTGAGATGGCCCCATTTCTGTGATAAACTCTTTTGTGTTTTGGTGAGCAAGTAAATTACTAATTAGTTCGGTCCTGTTAGCGGGTGGCAGGTGAACTGTGATCTAGAAGCTTGGAGGGAGGAGCGTTGTTAGGGGAAGAAAAGTATATTACGGTGGTAAAAGAGAGGTATATATATATTATTAATTAGGAGTTAGATTGGCCGTAAAAGCGAAGTTAAATAATGGGTATAATAATAATCTTATATTTGATTATATAACAAAAAAATCCTATATTTGGACTTTTGTTAAGGGTAAAGATTATGCCTGTGTGAGGGTTAAAAACTTAAAATTTATATAAATCTTTGGCAGTAATGGGGGCTAAATTACACGTTTGGTCACTCAAATTACATAAATCTTTCACGTTTGCCACTCGAATTACTTTTCTTTCTTATTGACCACTAAATTAACGAATTATTTCATCGTTAGTCACCGACCGTTAGTCTTCGTCAAACTCCGTTAACTCCGTTAGTTTTTTGATGACGTGACAAACAGAATTGCTGATTGGACTAACAGAAGGCTGAGATGGAATTTTTTATTAAAAACACAAAAAAAAAAACTCGACAATCATCCCCAATTAAACAAACCCTAGGATTCCCCACTGTCCTCTACTTTCGCATCCCCCAAAATGGACGGCGAATCGCACGGCCCCGACAGAGCAAGTACTGCTCCGACGGCGGCGCCGCCCGTGCCTCTAGGTTTGCCTGTCTCGAAGCCGGGGGATGGCGGCCAAGCCCGGCCTCAGCGCAAGGTAGAGATAGAGATGAAGACATATGAGGGACCAAAGACGATTATGGAGTGAATAAAGAGTAATTACAAACATTCCCAAGCGAATTAACAGACCCCTTCTCTTCTCTGTTTTCCCCAACCCAAAATCAAAATCAGATTTCAAACATCCTTAACAACTAGGTATATGTTGAGGAACTCTCTGTAAGCAGAAACGGGTCAAGATGAGCCTCTGAAGATCATCCCAGTAGCTAGGGGAACATCGATGATGACATGCTTCTTCTCACCACTGATGGCAATCTGGTAGCTCCGGCCCACCTACCTGATCCACCTGGCGATGTGGAACAGAACCCCTTTGGTCACGAACTCACCCCAATGCCTCTGGTCGCCGCTCACAATCAGGTGCGGGAGGCCGTCGTAGCCGCACAACAAGCTTTGTGTTGTCGAACTGGTGCGTGGTCTTCTTGTGGAGAGGCGAGAAGGCGACGGGTGTGGAGTTGTTGTGGTGGGTGTCTTGGGAGGTATAGCATACGATGGTGGATCGAGAGAGGGATGGTTATTTTGGGAGGAGGAAGGAGGCGGAGCTGCTACTGCCGGCGGCGAGCTTTGGGTTGAGCCTCAGCATTGGGTTGGAGCGGTTGGTGGAAGTTGTGATATACATTTTGTTTGTTTATCCTTCACTCCTCTTCGCTTCTTCTCCTTCTTGTTCTTGCTCTGAGGAAGGGAATGTGGAGGATAAGGGCTTTTAGATTTTGATGGCGGAAGGGATTGGTAAGTAGTGGAGGAGGGGAGGTGGGGATTTGATGGAGAGGAAGGGGATACAGTTGAAAGAGGGAAGGTGTGACGTGGAAGGCTTATTTTTTGGAAAGCTTTTAATTGGGAATGATTGATGAGCTTTAATTTTTTTTTTTTGTGTTTTTAATAAAAAATTTCATCTCAGCTTTCTGTTAGTCCAATCAGCAATTCTGTTTGCCACGTCATCAAAAATCTGACGGAGTTAACAGAGTTTGACGGAGACTAACGGCCGGTGACTAACGATGAAATGACTCGTAAAGTTAGTGGTCAATAAGAAAGGAAAGTAATTCGAGTGGCAAACGTGAAAGATTTATATAATTTGAGTGACCAAATATGTAATTTAGCCCAGTAATGGGCTAATGGTATTGGTCCTATTATTAACTAGAGGTGTATCTTTACGTGCATTGGAAAATTATGACCTTAATTAAAGCAGGGTTTTCCCAGTATTAATTCTTAATGCAATATGCCAGTCAGTGATTGTGAAACTTATGTCATTGCTGAATACAAGTTTGCTCGGGTTGTCCATGGAGAATCAAGAAGTAGCCTTAAGAAGAAACAGAAGAAATTTAACTAATCTAGAAATTGGGTTTGTTAGAAACTTAATCCCAAAAGAGAGAAACAAATTAGTGGTCGTCTAATTAGACTTTTGTATTTGAACTAGCAATTATTATAATTAGTTGTAGACAAGAAATTGACGCGGATAGATACATACCGGTGCCCGATTTATTTACTTATTTGGCTTTACTTCATCGCTAATGGATGGAAGGGGTCTGGTTGCTTAGTCATTAACCATAGATCTGGGACATTTTATAATATTAGTTCTGTATTGGGTTTTTTTCATAGATTCTTTTGTTGCGGCATGCTCTGTAGATTTATAAATTCGCGACATCTCAAGTCATATAGAGTTCATATATATAGGCACATAACACCAAATAATTAAATATGATAATCGACAAATAGTTCAATTGTGGATGAAAAAGTCTTTTGAGCATGGTCGATGAAATCGTACCGTACCGAAGGTTCAACCACGAAATAACAGTATTGAAGCCTAAATCGGTAGGCGATATTTAATGGTGTAACGGTTGAACTATGGTTAAACCAGTTTTATCATAAAATCATACTATTGACTTTTCCGATACGATATCAGGTACGGTTTCATGGACCATGCTTTTGAGTCACTAGAGCAACCATGTTGTACTTGCATGAAGTAAAAGTACAAGAAATAATAGAAAAAATATGTATAGCCCCGAATTCTTCTAGAATCGCACCACTCGATCCATAAGCCATCTCCACCTCTCGAAAGCTCTGCTTCGATCTTCGCAAAAGTAGGAGAAGCACGGGAACAAATGCATTCATAATCGAGAAATATTTAAAAAGTATTTTTATTTTCCCCAAAGAAAATGTATAGGGCCTAATGTTATCTTACTGAAATTTCAGCTAAAAACTAAAAATTTAAATAGTTGTTAGCTGTTATCACTGTACACTTGTATATTCAATATAGTGATCCGATTTCTATTTTAAGATACATTTGGAACAGCTTTCTTCATGGCGTTTCTCCTAATATATTTGACTTTTTTATTGCGAGTGATATTTGACTATTGGTAATGGGATGCGTGCGTTTGTGTTGGAGAAAGAGAAACTACGGACTATGCAGGACCTTCTAGCCAATGGGGTTTTGGCTGTGATCATTCGATTATATTTAATCTAATTATCAATACCACCCACGCTAATTAGAAATGACAATGGACTATGATCATTTAATTATATTTAATCTAATTATCAATACAACCCACGCTAATTAGGAATGACAATGGACAAGTTGAGATAGGTAGT